TCTGTGTGTGTGTATGTGTGTCTGTGTGTGTGCGTGTGTGTCTGTATGTGTTTTGTAATAGATTATCTTCTATGAAAAAAATCCAAATTGAGCAATTTCCATTCTCATAATTGTTTTTCAACATCATTCTTTCAAGTCAGGTAAACACACACACACACACACACACACACACATATGTGTGTGTGTGTGTGTGTGTCTGTGTGTGTGTGTGTCTGTGTGTGTGCGTGTGTGTGTCTGTGTGTGTGTATGTGTGTCTGTGTGTGTGCGTGTGTGTGTCTGTGTGTGTGCGTGTGTGTGTCTGTGTGTGTGCGTGTGTGTGTCTGTGTGTGTGTGTCTGTGTGTGTGTCTGTGTGTGTGTATGTGTGTCTGTGTGTGTGCGTGTGTGTGTCTGTGTGTGTGTATGTGTGTCTGTGTGTGTGCGTGTGTGTGTCTGTGTGTGTGTATGTGTGTCTGTGTGTGTGCGTGTGTGTGTCTGTGTGTGTGTGTCTGTGTGTGTGTCTGTGTGTGTGTGTCTGTGTGTGTGTGTCTGTGTGTGTGCGTGTGTGTGTCTGTGTGTGTGCGTGTGTGTGTCTGTGTGTGTGTATGTGTGTCTGTGTGTGTGCGTGTGTGTGTCTGTGTGTGTGTGTCTGTGTGTGTGTGTCTGTGTGTGTGCGTGTGTGTGTCTGTGTGTGTGTGTGTCTGTGTGTGTGCGTGTGTGTGTCTGTGTGTGTGTATGTGTGTCTGTGTGTGTGCGTGTGTGTGTCTGTGTGTGTGTCTGTATGTGTTTTGTAATAGATTATCTTCTATGAAAAAAATCCAACGTAATAACTTCGTATAGCATACATTATACGAAGTTATACGAGATATATATATATATATATACACACACACACACACACACATATATATATATATATATATAAATATAGATATACATACACACTTAGAATATATACTATATATATAAAACACATTTAAGAAATTTCAGATGGAAGAAATTAGTATTCAATACCTGTTACAATGAGTAACATAAGTTACTCTCCTCAATATTCACTGAAAAAGTACTCTTATGCAATGTCATTGTGCAGCAACATTAAGCAACATCAAGGTCAAGGACCTTGACTTTACAGATAATATTGCTATTCTGTCTGTCTGAAAACCCTAGTGGCAGCTCTAGACACATTATGCATTATATATCAAGACCAAGATCGAAGATTTTGAAAGGCTGGTTGGAGAACCTGTTCAGTCAGTCACATACAGCCTTATATATCTTGACTCTGGGCTGTCAGACCAAGAAGTCAGTTGACAAATTAACCCCAAGCCGCCGGGCATGGCATGTACGTACATACCATAGCCCACTGTGTGTGTTGAATTTAGTTATTGTTTTTACATATAGATGGCTCCACAAGCACTGTCACCAATGAGCCAATTATGCAGACTACCTGACTAACCTGTTTATCCTATTCCTTAATTTTGATAATATTTTCTAATATTCAATATTACTGATAGTAATGTCAGTCACAATATAATATTCAGAATGTTTATAACAAAAATAATAGCATAAGTAAAAATAAGCGTTTTTCACACTTTTTCAAGGAAAAGTGAGGTCGCAAGATCTACTAATTGACTCCTTTGTGACTAAGCATTGGCAGAGCCATCTATGTATAGAAACATTTAACCAAGCATTGCCAATGGGAACGCATTATTTTTCCTTTGACATTGTTGTTAATTTGGCAAATACAAGAGTATGTGTGATGCTGGTACCTGTACAGAAGGACCAAGTGACACATGTTCAAGACCCTGATATTTCCAGTTTTCCTTTCTGGAAATGAAATCTAGACTTTATCCCTTTCCTTGAAGTTTCATCCTTGCGCCAGACCATCAGCCATAGCTAGCAGGAGCATGTGTCTAATCAACAGTTTTACACATCAGATTGGCATAGGACCAGTTACACAATCTGGGACCACCAAGTCAGGCTTTACCCTCTTGCCCCTCATACCTGTAAAATGTTTGTTTTGGGTAGCTCTTAATACAAAATCTATATTCATCTTAGATATTTATTCTGTTGAGATTTAGAGGGGTTACAATTACAGATACACTACGAAAATGGCCATTCCTCTATGCATACTAGTAAATACTTTGCTTTTTATTTTTTCACCCATATGTGTATGGAAGAAAGCCAACCAAAATTCCTGTTACATATCATTGTCGTAATGTCCTTATTAAAGCATAAAGGAATCAGAGTTGGCCTACAAAACCCATTTGGTGGTTTTGTTAGGCATCTTTTAGTATGATACCACCAGTAGCTCCATACAGTCACATGCCAAAGTAGATAAAAAACTAACTGCAATCAAATCTGATATCAATACATATTTTAGACATATAAGAAGTAATATTTATAAGAAAAGTTGAAATAAAGTGCCTCTGGGATTTTCATGAAGGCCATATATATGTAGAGGTGAAATAAGCCAGTAGTTGGAGATACTTCATTTACATACCAAGAAGGAATATGATTTGGCCATAGAAAATTGTATGGTAGTTTTTCAACCCTGCTGTAGTATGAAAATACCTTTGATTCAATCTCCACTAGGTAGCACCCTCTCTCCCTTTTCCTCTCTTTGGCAGTACTTTGGTAGCTTGACATGTGTGTCTACCATAAAAATTCCCCAAGATTGCTGCATCACATGAAGCAGTATGCCAACTAACGAAACTTATATAACTAATTGGCACACTACTCACACTGACACTTCTTTTCTTTTAAATTTGCAAAATAAACGGAAGGAGTATCAGCTGTAGTGCCATATGTTACTGTGTGGCGGCTGAGGCATTTGGTGTTGATCTCTGGTAGTCATAGTTTACTACTTATCAATTACAGATAGTAAACCCTGAGGAGGAATCCTAAGCATAAATCCCTGATGTAGTTTGTAACTGACTTTGACTTTGCTCGACTCGTGTTCTTCCCTTGAGTCCATCAGTGATGTGGATTGGGGGGACCTGCTTTATCAGCAACTGTTTGTTTCCCACATCACCCATGCCTGGGCCTGTGCCTAGGGGGCAATAGTCCAGCACTACTGCAAAGCGATGAAACAACACAACTGGTGTAGAGCAATTGTGGGAGATTGTTCCAGTGCTAACTCATGTAGCTTCACTTTTCCAAGGTACAGATTCATGGTTACTTGTAACCAACAGATGCCACAAATAAACAATTTCAGAGTACAACAGTCCAGATCCAGTATGACATGGAGGTTCCATGTTGGGTAAGTTAGAATAATGAATGTAAGTAAAGGAGGAGCTAAGTAAATTCTCAAAAGCATAGTATATCATATACCTTGAAACTCCAAAATATCTTAAAAGCCATTTTCTCCTTAATCAATCAAAATGGCTAATCCCAAAAAGGATGCTTTGCCACATCAGTGTTTCACTTCTATCTCAACTTTTTTTTTTACAATAGTTTTGCCATCCTCTGCCTTCTGGCCCTCTATGGAAGAAAAAAAAAAAAAAAAAAAAAAAAAAAAAAAAAAAAATGATGAGCAAGACCATCATCTGGTGGTCAGGCCTACAAACCATGTATCATGAGCCAGCACTCCTAATAGGTCTTCCAACAGTATCAACGTGCAGCAGCTGGTTAGACCATCAGGCACATGGTCCTGCCAACTGTAACCTACTATCTGATACAAGGACCTGCTGTACATGGTTTCAAAACATGACTAAAGCACAAGAGAGTTCATGTCACACAAATATACAGTAGAATCAGCAGTACCAGGGCCTTAAAGAAATTGGACTATCAATCTGTTGATTCTCTGCTCCGGAGTCAAGAATTACATGGCCAAGATATGTGGGCAACCCAAATGTCCTCACAGCAGGAATATATCAGCTGGGCAGGGTCTCTTGGCAAACCCCCAGTCCTGGATTTTGGTTCAGGTCCAAGGTACCTCACCAAGTAGCCTCTGAAACATCTCAGTATGTTAAACAATTTGATGCCTAAATGACTGCTGCAGACACAGAGATCACACTCTTCAGTATGTCTAAGGATTGGAACTATGCATAGCCAGTAAGCCAGTCAGAATGAGACTCCATAAAGCCAATCCTCGGCTCAAGAATGTATAAGCTGGTATGGAGACAAGGTATAGGGTCTTATACCACTACAAGTCTCTCCCTTTTTCGCATAGGCTTAGTGAATGAGAAAGCAGGCAAGCATTTAAAACTATTCAATACTAATAATATATTTACATCACATCAGACTGAACTTGGAACAATTACCCCTGGTTAATATTTAATTTATCTTTTTTTATAAACTATTGGTGCCATATGATCTATGGTCCTGCACTTACAACTTTGTTTTTTTGATACAGCATAGTAACTCTCAATATCACAGAAAGCTCTTTGCAATGCCTTATCTTGGAAAACACGGCAAAGTCTTCCAAACAGGAGTTCAGCCAACCAATGCTATCATATCATATTCTCATCAACTAATGTAATTAACAGATTTGTGTTTACTATGATGATCTTCTGTTTCATTTCTTGTAGCCTTACATAGTACACTATCTGGAAATTCATTCATGTAAGTTATTCTTTATTAATCCAGACTGGAGAGTAGGCAATTTTCAAAAAGAATAACTAAACAACAATCCAACAATTCTTAAACAATCCCCAGATAAGTGTTAACCCATTACCGGTGGTATATTTTGAAGCCGAAAATAAAAGTTTCCGGGTGGCTACAAAATCGGCGCGTGGGGCTGGCCTGGACTCTGCCCACGTGCTGGCCATGGCCCGCAGCTGAGTCGGAGCACAAGCCCCAATACAGTGTCACACTGGCGGGAAGCCTTGCAATTTTTTTTTTTTTCGGGTGTCTCATGTGTGGGATACTCATCGTTACTGGGTTAACATAACTATCCATAAAAGGCTGTGTAATTATAAGCATCTTCTCATAACACCTAAAACTAATGAAGAGGTTTCTCTTTTACCATACCATACACGCTAGACTTCTAAAATAAAGCCAATATGGTTCGCAAAAGACTTACCTGTGGCACCAAGGGGGTGGCCCTTTGAGATAAGTCCACCAGATGGATTAATGACGTACTTCCCACCATATGTGTTGTCACCAGCATCAATCATCTTTCCAGCTTCACCTTCCCCACACAAGCCTTTGAAAGGATCAAGTGTATTTTACTTAATATTGTGATAATAATATATAATGACTCAACAATCACTATTACATATGGCAAAATATTCACATTTGTACAATCACAAAATATGGAAGAATAAAAAGAAAACAGTCTTTCACAATCAATAAAATTATTCTACATAAATAAATCTTAAAACATGTAAACATCTCATACAAATAACCAGAGAAAAATTTTACACAAAGAAATTAAGATCTGCTAATATATAGCACTCCAGGATTAAGAAAAATCCTTTTTGAAGTATCCTAATTCAAAGAATAAAAACAAGAATATTCAAGACATGAACTTAATTTATATAATTACTATTAATCATTCAAAGTGTTTATCTTCAGCTTTATGATGTCATTTTATTGCACATTCCCATACTTCAAGAAAACCTTGCAGATCAAAATTAGCAACAAAGAAAATATACACAAAACAAAATAGAAAACAAAAGAATCCACTCACACAGACCAGACAGGTTGAAGGACTGGTAGTGTGGTTAACAAACACTAAAAAGTTAATACCTGTGAAGAGATTTAAACTTACCAAGAGCTTCATAAGTAATAAGTTCATTGGCAGAGAAGCAATCATGAAGTTCAACCACATCAACATTTGCTGGTGATTCTCCTGCAATACTAAAAACTTTTTGGGCTGCTGTTCTTGTCATGTCAAAACCAACCTGAAAATAGGAGTAATACCCAATAATCATTTCTCTGAAAGTTCACTAAGTCTAAAACATGGAGAATACATAATTTTATGAAATATTGGGTAATTTCAAAAAAGGTAACTACTAATCAATACACAATACTTAAGTCTTTCTAAAGCTAAAGTCCTGTATTCATGAATGATTGTGTTGAAAATAAGAGTTGGCCAATCATAACTAATTCACTCTTTTCTTTTCTTTTTTATTAAATGTGAAACTCATTATCATAGCTTCTCAAAAAACCTTCGGAGTAACATCAAAATCTTAACATCCTTTTATTTAATTTAATAAAGGACATTTATTTTAATAAATTTTGTCTTAATGAACATACAATTTTCATGGGGCTTTCCTCCTCAAAGGTTGATGGTAGATCTGTTGCCATCTCCATTGCCAGGATCTCAATGGCCTGATTCTGAAGACCATTGGAAACTACAAAATCTTCAGAGGCAAGAATAGCAGCACCAGATCCATCAGAGGTTGGGCAGCACTGGAGCTTGGTGAGGTGGCAAGTCACCATGGGGGATGCTTGGATTTGATCCAAGGTATACTCTTCTTGAAACTGTGAGTAACTGACGAAAAAGGCATCAATTTAAGAATGGATGAAGAAAAAGTTCTCCTGTGAAACTTCCCTTTCTACACCATTATTTTTTGCCTCTGTCCCACTCTACTGACTCTCCACTATCATGTTCTTGCTTCTTCTAATACTTATGTTATTGAAAATGTTTTATTTTGTTCAATCAAGTCTTAAGTTTCCCTTTACTAAAGCAATAGTGTAAAGTCCCTATATAAAGATGACAGGACTGATCCACCCATACCCCACCCCCATCCTACTACACATGCCTCCCTTCTTGCCCTCACATCTTTCCTACCCTGCCTCCAGACACATGATGGTTTCTTCCACACCTTCCCCCTTAAACCTCCATCTCTTACACCATTGCCTTCAACTGGATTTTCTACTCAATGCCTAATGGAAAAAAAAAATATCATTCACTAATAATTCAACTGTCATACTTTGGTAAGAAAAGCTGAATGATCAATGATTGCAGAAGAGGATCATTATGAGAAAGAGAGGGAGAGAGGGAGAGAGGGAGAGAGACACAGAGAGAGAGAGAGACACACACACCCACACACACACACACAGAGAGAGAGAGAGACGGAGAGAGAGAGCGAGAGAGAAAGAGAGGGAGATAGGGAGAGAGGGAGAGAGAGGGAGAGGGAGAGAGAAAGAAGAAGGAAAGGAAGAGAAAAGAACGAAAGAGAGAGAGAGAGACGGAGAGAGAGAGCGAGAGAGAAAGAGAGAGATGGGGGGGGGAGGAGAGAGACAGACAGACAGACAGAGAGAGAGACACACACACACACACTGAGAGAGAGAGACAAACAGAGACAGAGAGAGAGACAGAGAGGGACAGAGACAGAGAGGGACAGAGACAGAGAGAGGCAGAGACAGAGAGAGACAGAGAGGGACAGAGACAGAGAGCGACAGAGACAGAGACAGCGACAGAGAGAGAGACACACACACATACACACACACACACAGACACAGAGACAGAGACAGCGACAGAGAGAGAGAGAGATAGAGACAGGGAGAGAGACAGAGAGTGAGAGAGAGAGGAGAATGAAGTGTTTTGATAATCTGTCGGAGGAGGAGGATAATGGGTGAGTGAAGCGTGAGCGAGAGAGTAGAATGAAGTGTTTTGATAATCTGTCGGAGGAGGAGGATAATGGGTGAGTGAAGCGTGAGCGAGAGAGTAGAATGAAGTGTTTTGATAATCTGTCGGAGGAGGAGGATAATGGGTGAGTGAAGCGTGAGCGAGAGAGTAGAATGAAGTGTTTTGATAATCTGTCGGAGGAGGAGGATAATGGGTAAGTGAAGAGTGAGAGAGAGAGAGAGGCGGAGAAGGTCATAGAAAGAGAGAGATAGAGAGAAAGAGAGAAAAAAAAGAAAAAAAGAGAGCAAGAAAAGAAGAGAGAAAGAAAAACAGAGAGAAAGAAAAACAGAGAGAAAGAAAAAAACAGAAAGAAAAGAGAAAGAAAAGAGAAAGAAAAGTGAAAGAAAAAAAGAGAGATAAAAAGAGAGAGAGAAAAAGAGAGAGAAAGAGACAGAAAGACAGAGAGAGTAAGAGAGAGAAAGAAAGAAACAAAGAGAGAAAGAAAACAAGAGAGAAAGAAAAACAGAGAGAAAGAAAAAATGAAAGAAACAAAAAAAGAAAGAAAGAAAGAGAAAGAAAAAAAAGAGAAAAAAAAAAAGAGAGAAGGAAAAAAAGAGAAAAAAAGAGATAGAAAAAAAGAGAAAGAAAAAAAAGAGAAAGAAAGAAAGAGAGATAGATAGATAGAGAGAGAGAGAGAAAAACTTAGAAAAATATACAATATAAGAAGAAATAAGAAGAGAGACAGACAGACAGAAAGACAGACAAACAGACAGACAGACAGACAGAGAGATAGAGAGAAAGAGAGAGATAGAGACAGGGAGAGAGACAGAGAGAGACAGAGACAGAGAGAGACACAGAGAGAGAGAGACACACACACCCACACACACACACACTGAGAGAGAGAGAGACACGCACACACACACACACACTGAGAGAGAGAGAGAGACGGAGAGAGAGAGCGAGAGAGAGAGAGAGAGCGAGAGAGAAAGAGAGAGAGAGAAGAAAGAGAGAGAGACAGAAATCGTATAACTTCGTATAATGTATGCTATACGAAGTTATTACGTGTCTCTGTCTCTGTGTCTGTGTGTGTGTGTGTTGGTGAGTGTGTGTGTGTGTGTATGTGTGTGTGTGTGTTGGTGAGTGTGTGTGTGTGTGCGTGTCTCTCTCTTTTTCTTTCTCTTTTCTTTCTCTCTTCTTTTCTTTCTCTCTTCTTTTCTTTCTCTCTTCTTTTCTTTCTTTTCTTCTCTTTTCTTTCTTTTATTTCTCTTTTCTTTGTTTCTTTCTTTCTCTTTTTCTTTCTCTCTTTGTTTCTTTCTCTCTTTGTTTCTTTCTCTCCTTTTTTCTTTCTCTCTCTCCCTCTGTCTGTCTCTCTTCTTATTTCTTCTTATATTGTATATTTTTCTAAGTTTTTCTCTCTCTCTTTTTCTTTCTCTCTGTTTTTCTTTCTCTCTCTCCCTCTCCCTCTCCCTTTCTCTCTCCCTCTCTCCCTCTCTCCCTCTCTCCCTATCTCCCTCTCTTTCTCATAATGATCGTATAACTTCGGATAATGTATGCTATACGAAGTTATTACGCATTCACTAATAATTCAACTGTCATACTTTGGTAAGAAAAGCTGAATGATCAATGATTGCAGAAGAAGATCATTATGAGAAAGAGAGAGAGAGAAGAGAGAGAAAGAAAGAGAGAAAGAGAAAGAGAAAGAAAAAAAG